CTCAGAGATGCTGTCTAAGCTCTACCAGATCCACAGGCGTCTCCGAGACGCCGGATCAGCAATTAAAGGGAGGGGGAATGGGGAACAGCCCCCTGGCAGCAAGGCTGGAGAGCAGGACCTGCACGTGGGGTGAGAAACGTGGGATTAATTACTCGGATTTGGTGCTGGGAACCGGTGCGCGGTTCCCTCTCTCTGCTGGCAGCTTTCAAGATGTAACACTCACAGCCTTCGTCTGGGGGGAGGGCTGGATATGTGGGGTTTTTCTTTCTCTCAGGAAACTCCCAAATTGGTGTTTGGGTACCGCCAAAAGCACATCAAAAAATTGGTTTTTAGACACGAAATGCCAGTTGCAGGAACTGCAGCCGCTGCTCCGAGGATACACCCACCCAAATCCTCCCAGGGCTGCTCTGGGGGAGCCGAGCGATGCAGCCCCCCAAAGACTCCAACCCACTCGAGTTCAGGCTGCTGCCAGCTCCAATTAGCAATTAGCAAATGGTGCTTTCACACAGCCCAGCAGAAGCCCCGACCGCCGGCCAGCCCTTTATTTGCCGTTCATCACCCTGCCCTGCTTCGCTCCGTGCTTTTCCCTTTCATCCCATCCTTTGGAAACCTACCAAATGCCTTTGGGAAGCTCTCCCTTCTCCTCCTGCTCAGTGCCTCTCACTCAGCCCCATCGGGGTATCTCCACCGAGCTCCAGATCATTCCTCTGGCCAACTCCTGCAGGGACTAGCCCCCAAAAGCCGGCACTGCCAGGGGTGTCCCCCGGTCCTGTCCCCGCTCGCTCCTGCCGTCCCTGCAAACAGGAACGGGCTTATAGCTTCCAGGTTTGGGTGTTGGCTCCAGGGCTGGATTTTCCATCTTCCCAAATCCAAAGAGTTTTTAGTTGAAGCATTTGAAAAAAAAAAAATTAAAAATATATAAAAAAAAAATGTGACTCTTTCCATCCTCAGGCCCTGCCCTGGGCTGGTGAACGCCTCTGTTTCTCAGTGGAGGCACTGTCTGCTCTCCATGCACAGGGGCCCCTTTGTCCGGGTCTCAGAAGCCACAGGAGAAGGGATCACAGAATCTTCTAGGTTGGAAGGGACCTTAAAGATCATCTTGTCCAACTGTCAACCTCACTGACAAAAATAGACACCCACACAACAAACAAGGAGCATCATCACTAAACCATCCCTCCCAGCACTACATCAGCCCGTCTTTTGAACACCTCCAGGGATGGGGCCTCCACCACCTCCCTGGGCAGCCCATTCCAATGGCTGATGACCCTTTCAGTGAAAAAATTTTTCCTAATATCCAGCCTGAACCTCCCCTGGCGCAACTTGAGGCCATTTCCTCTCGTCCTGTCGCCTGTGACTTGAGAGAAGAGACCGACCCCCACCTCTCTACACCCTCCTTTCAGGGAGTTGGAGAGAGCAATAAGGTCTCCCCTCAGCCTCCAGGAGGAGGCTGTGAGCTCCAGGAACGCACCTTCCCCGGCCTGACACAGCAGTTATTTGAACAGATACCACCAGCAACCCCCCTGTGTGAGGGGGGTACCTGCACAGCCCCCTCCTACTGGGGTTTTGTTGTTTGGTTTTTTTTCTGGAAGACAGATGTTCCAGATGTTCAGAGCATGGTTACACGCCTTGTTCGTTACTGCTTTTGAGTTAAAATAAGCACTGGGGCACTACAAAGAAGAGATGTTAAATAAGTCCTACTGATGCTGACAGGCCACAAGGAAACCAGGTGTCTGAGGCTTAAAAGGTTTTTAAATATCCTGACAAAGGAAGGAATCTGCTTGTGAGTACAATCTGTGTTTTTTGTTTGCATCCAGCTGTGACTGATACTATCCTGGCTTTGTGTCTGACAACTAAACCCCCCTCCAGCAGTTCCTGCATCGAAGATACAGCAGAACAGAGCTGCTGCTCAGTCCAGGCACCTCATCCCAGCACAGGAACGACATGGACCTGCTGGAACGGGGCCAGAGGAGGCCCCGGAGATGCTGGGAGGGCTGGAGCCCCTCTGTTGGGAGGGGGGGGCGGAGAGAGTTGGGGGGTTCAGCCTGGAGAAGAGAAGGCTCCGGGGAGACCTTGGTGCCCCTTCCAGTCCCTGAAGTGTAAGTAGGCAAGTACACAAAACAGATAGGCTGGAGGGAAGGAAAAGAACAGCCCAGAGTGGCTTATAGGCTCAGAGGTAGATTTTCAGAAGAAGGGAAAAGATGCTGGGATGCAACCAAGTCACCCACCCTTCAGAGAGGACACAGAATCATGGAACAGTTTGGGTTGGAAGGGGCCTCAAAGCCCCCCCAGTGCCACCCCCTGCCCTGGGTAGGGACACCTCCCACCACACCACGTTGCTCCAAGCCCCCTCCAACCTGCCCTTCAACCCCTCCAGGGATGGGGCAGCCACAGCTTCTCGGGCCAACCTGGGCCAGGCTCTCACCACCCTCACACCAAACAAGTTCTTCCCCACAGCTCAGCTCCATCTCCCCTCTTGCAGGGTCCAACCCTTCCCCCTCCTCCTAGGGCTCCTCTCCCTCATCCAGAGTCCCTCCCCATCTCTCCTATAGGCCCCCTATACATTACCTGGCTGGACAGAGGGTTACAGCAGCAGAGAGAGACAGGAATTAGTGGTGGTGTGGTTTTCAGTGCTACCAGAGTGGTGAAACCACTTTCCTCCACATTGAAGGCAGAGGGAAGTTGGAGGAGTCCTAGATCAGTGTGTTCCTCAGCCAGGGGGAACATCCCTCAGAGACCTGGCAGAGGGACAGGGCTGAGGAACCAAGTATCCTCCCTGGACGTAAAGGCCAACTGGCCACCGAAGGGGTTGAAAAGAAAATAGCCAACTACATAAGTTTTGCTGGTTTTGTAACACACCATCAGATCTCCAGTGAAGTCACAGCTATTCTCCTACAGAGTCCCCAAGAGAGGGTGGAGAGGGAAGGAGAAGTGGAGAACCTTCAGAAGTAAACCCTTCCCCACGTTAAGGCAGACATCACAAGGGCCAAGAGTCCATCAGGTCTCACTTCAGCAACGGACCCAAGAACTAGAGAGCACCGGGAAATGCACCAGAACCATCGCTGGCTAAAAATAGGCCAAGCTAATTATAAAAGCCTTGTTAAAAGGGACGCCCAGCAGGAAGTGTAACCCCTTCTTTACAAAGGGACGATCAATATTGACTGTCTCAGCAGCAAATCCTCAAGATCACTTCAACGTGAGGAACTGCTCAGCTGGTGAGACCCAAAGAAAGTCTCTCTGTACCCAATCCCAGGTCTCTTTTACAGCTGTTTAATGCTGCACCACGTTGGAGAGCTCTGCCTCCCTTAACCACGGTAATAAATACATATCAATCTCTTTCAAGTTTAATAAATAGGCACCCTAAAAGCTTTGTCTGGATCTGCTTTTTTTTTCCATTCAATTAATACAACGCAATGCCAGAGCACTGAATTATTGAAGAGAAATACAAGCCAGAGCTTTCACAAACACCCTCGACTCCAATAGCAATTTATTACAAATTAATAGCGTGCTGCATTTCCTCCTGCACCACAAGAACCGGCGATGGAGCCGCACCAGCCACCAAAACTTCCGAGTCCCGAGCACAAATAAACCCGGGGAGGGAGCGGGAGGGATGGATGACAGATAGAAAAAGAGAAACCCCTTCTACCTGGGGGGTTTTCTACTCGTGAAATGTGGTTTGTACAGGAATAATCAGCCTTTCCACATCCTTGCACTTGCTTCGGCGCTCAGCACGCAGGGCAACACCGTGGTGCGTGTTTGTTGCTGCATGAAAGCAGTGCTGAAGTTTAAGACAAGGGTTGCTGTAAGCAGGATTGATTCGTGTGCGAGCGTGACAATTCACCTTTGCACATTTAAAGTTACATCTGCTCAGCAGGAGGCTTTCCATAGTTTTCACGCCCCGTCCTTAACACCACAGTTGCCCCAAAACGACCCTCTAATGCTCATATTTGAGATTAATCCCAAATTGAAAAAAAAATAAAACCAACAAACCAGACATCTTTTCTTCAGCAAAGCAATTCAAATGCCAACCAGCCTGAAAGATACTTCCCATTTCTTGAGATTAATCCCAAATTGAAAAAAAAATAAAACCAACAAACCAGACATCTTTTCTTCAGCAAAGCAATTCAAATGCCAACCAGCCTGAAAGATACTTCCCATTTCACCACACCATGGCTCTGGAAGCACCTGCAACAAGCCCATCAAGAGCAACATGGGGACTGTGGGGGGCCTGTTTAGAGATGCCCTACCAGAGAGTGAGTTCAAAGCGCTTGTGTAATCACAGAATGGTTTGGGTTGGAAGGGACCTTAAAGAACATCCAATTCCACCCCCTGCCCTGGGCAGGGACACCTCCCACCACACCACGTTGCTCCAAGCCCCCTTCAACCTGCCCTTGAACCCCTCCAGGGATGGGGCAGCCACAGATTCTCGGGGCAATGAGCTTCTTGCTCATCTTGCTCATCAATGAGGTTCTTGATCATCTCAGCATGTTGATCCCTCCAACCTGCCTTTGAACCCCTCCAGGGATGGGGCAGCCACAGCTTCTCGGGGCAATGAGCTTCTTGCTAGAAATCATCTGAGCGTGTTGATCCTCCAGATAGTTGGAGTGAAGACAAATGCCTCAGTGCCCGGCATTCAGATGATGTTACACTCCACAGGTTGGAGTGAAGACAAATGCCTCAGTGCCCGCCGTTCAGATGATGCTACACTCCACAGCAGACAGACAGACAGATGTCTCCAGCAGCCAAGAGCTGCTCTGAGCAGCAAACCCCCCCAAAACCACAGGGGAGAGCAGACACCAAAACCAGAAGGGATTTTCCCTCGATGGCTTTTCTGTTTCCAATGTACATTTAGGAAGGAACTTTCCTGATAAAACAGGAGAACACGCAGCCATCACCACAACTGCTCTACCACTTTTGTCATCTCCACAATTAAATGCACCCTGTTTCCTCCTCCCAGCGCAGAGCAGCGACTTCCATAAAACCAAACCCAGCAGGAAACTCACCTCCATTTTTGATAGCTCTGATCCCCCGAAGGAAATCTTCGAAGCTGATGACTCCAAGTCCACTCGGATCGAGGTACTTCGTTAGGTCCTTTACCTGCAACCACAAAAGCAGCGTTACCCTCCGGGGACACAGCATCTTCCAGAGAAACACCTTCTAACAGATTTTTCCTCCTTATGAGAAAAAGATTTGAGCTGATAGCAGTGAATTTCTTAAACTGACACCAAACCATGGCTGTTCTCCTTGAAGGGAACAAAAGTAATCAGTACAGAAGGGTTAATTAGTACTTGGCTGGTGCTGAAACTATTGATTAGTCTTGAAACGTAGGTTGGGGCAGTATTTCTTGCAACGTGGTCCTTCTCTGCCAGGGATTTGTTTATTTTTATGTTTTTTAAAGAGGTCCTATCTTAATTGGGAAAACTGAGTAATAGGCTGCCCAGTAGGAGGGCCCAATTAAGAGGATTCGGTGATAATGAACTGTTCCATGTTACAAATTTAGGCCATACAATTGAAACATTTTCCCAATTAGACAATGCCCGAGGGGGAAGGAATCACGTCAGCCAGTGAGGATTAGGATGCGGGTGCCGGAGCTGGCACACACACGGAGCGAGGGACGCTTGTGAGACCCAGCAAGGACCATCTGGGCACTTTGAGCAGAACAGGCTACAGTCTGAGGGCAAAACCAACATCAGTCCTCAAGGTCCAACCAAAGCCTTCAAAATCGTGCTTTTGGCCCCTTCCTCCCAGTCTGCCACCAACCTGCCCTTCAGAAAACCCTTTACACCAGCAATGCTTCTCAAACTGGGACAATCCAACAGTTTTTTCACTGAATTTCACTGAATTTTAGAGTTGGAAGGGACCATAGAGATTATCTAGTCCAACTCCCCTGCTGAAGCAGGATTGCCTAGAGCTAGAGCATGTTACTCAGGACTGCATCCAGGTGGGTCTTGAAAATCTCCAAGGAAGGAGAAGGAAGGAAGGCGGGTCTTGAAAATCTCCAAGGAAGGGAGTCAAAAAACCCACAGACGCTCATTTTAAGAGACATTGAGACACATTTGTGTATTTTAGAATCACAGAATGGTCAGAGTTGGAAGGGACCTCAAAGCCCACCCAGTTCCAACCCCCCTGCCCTGGGCAGGGACACCTCCCACCACACCACGTTGCTCCAAGCCCCCTCCAACCTGCCCTTGAACCCCTCCAGGGATGGGGCAGCCACAGCTTCTCGGGCCAACCTGGGCCAGGCTCTCACCACCCTCACACCAAACAAGTTCTTCCCCACAGCTCAGCTCCATCTCCCCTCTTGCAGGGTCAAACCCTTCCCCCTCCTCCTAGGGCTCCCCTCCCTCATCCAGAGTCCCTCCCCATCTCTCCTGGAGCCCCCCTTCTTTAGGGACTGGAAGGGGCTCCAAGGTCTCCCCGGAGCCTTCTCTTCTCCAGGCTGAACCCCCACAACTCTCTCAGCCTGTCTTCTTAAGAGAGGTGCTCCAGCCCTCTGAGCATTTTCGTGGCCCTCCACTGGACCCTTTCCAACAGGTCCATGTCCTTCCTGCGTTGAGGACTCCAAAGCTGGACAAAGTACTCCACAATGACTCCATTTCAGAGCCACCTCCTTCAGCTCAGAAGCCCAGGAGGGAACAGAGTGTAAGAGGTGACATTAGCTCCGTACTCAAAGGCTGCCCAAACCACTGCCCTGGCCCTGCCAAACACATCACCCTCTCCTCCTCCTCTGGAGCTGAGACACCAGAGAAGTGTTCAGCCTGTCTGCAGGGCTGGATTTGTGCTCTCATGAACACAATGGGTTGCCTTTTGACTCACTGGGACGATCTCTCAGGTTTGGATTGTTCTTGCAGGAAAAAAAAAAAAAAAGAAAAAAGAAAAGAGATGGTGACTCACCAAACCTCTCCTTCCAGGGAAGGAAACCTCCCATTTAAGAGAAGACTTGACATCTAAGGGTGAGGAGGAACACAGAGCCTGGTGGTGCTCAGAGCTGCCCGACTCCTTACGCAGCAGCAGGGGGTTTGGTTTGCTTTGTTTTGATTTTCTTAAACCCAGTCTGGGTTTCCCAACACAATGGAGGAGGCGGGAGATGGCTCCACTGTGGACATCCCACCTCCTCACAGCAGCAGGGGGGACCTCAGGGCTGAGACCATAAAAAAAACCCTCTCTGGGGTTGCCATGAGGGAACCCCCAAGCCCCAGCACTCACCGAGTCACCTGAGTGCTGGCTTGCTCCATCATGAACAGGGAGAAGACAACACAAGCACCTTTGCTGGTTTTCTGGGGGACTTTTTTTGGTAGACAGATAACAAAACAGCTGAACTCACACGGCACACATTGACTTGGATGAGTCAGGCTTCTCGTACGTTAAACAAAAGGTATTTTAGACTAATAAAAACAACTCTCAGGAACGTGTCGGTTCCACTTAGCGCATCTGGCAGCTTCTTCGAGTTCAAAAGCTGTAGCTGAATTTGTTATCTGTGTATATAGATAACAGAAATGCAAGTGACATTTAATGAGACTCGATACGCCTGTAAGTATTACCATGACACACCCTGAAGAACAGTTTCTGTGAAGACCCAGCCGTGGTGACACAGGGGACGTGCCAGGCAGGGCTCACAGAGCAGGCAAATTGGAGCCCTTGTGCCAATGCCCCAGCAAAGCACCTCTCTCGGGCAAAAGAAAGAGAAACAGAGCAGCTGGAATAAGCATTTTGCTTATGCAAAAGAGCCACCTATGTATTTAAATTAAGGGGGCAATGAGTGGAAACGCTTCTTAAAACTTCGCACCCCTGACATTAAAGATGGAAACAAGCAAAAGCCATGCAACCGATGAAGCTCAAGGCCATGGTGGTACATCTGTGCTGATCCAAACCTGCCTGTCTTTGCCCCAGTGAGGGGATGCTGGGGGGGACACCCCTACAGGGGGAGACAGCCCTTTAGCACCCATGAGTATCTGAACCTGCCTCCAGGGCTGCTCCTGAAGCTCACTCCCTGCTCCACACAAGAGCATTGGGAAGGGCCAACGACAGCTCCAGCATCTCGCTCCTGGGCTGTAACCACCAGTGCTCTCCACTCCGATGTCTAGGCTAAAATCCCTGCTTTAATAGGGCAGATGGAAAAAAGAACCCAGAGAATCACAGCTCAAACAGTTTTAGACTAGCAAATCTTGGCAGTTCTGACGTCACAGATTTGTTGCTTTTTAGCTGAAGACTAATCTCCAAGAGAGGAGCAGTTAACACCTATTAGCACAGCGGCGAAAGTTAACGCTCCACCAAACTCCAAGTGTTAAACCAAACCCAGGGAGATACAAACCACACTCACGGGGAGGCACCTCCTTTTGACCAGCAAGAGATATTCAAAATAAAGGTTTTGCTTAATGTGTTCGTAGCTGGTTATAAACTCTCCCCGAAGAGGAGCGAGCAGCTAGAAATCCAGAGCATTAAGGAGTCCGAGAGGATGACGTGGTTTAAAGAGCTGAGAGAAATCCTGGTGGAAAGTGAGAGGTTTAAACTGCCGTAAATCAATCTCCCTTTAAGCTGAGCACAGACACAAGCCCGCGGGAGCAGAACTGGTGAGAGATGCTGAAGGGGCCGTGCTCTTCTCTGTGCTGGGGACATGGCACAGCCTGGTCTGATGCCAGGACAAGCTCCTGGCACAAATCCGTAAGGAATTTCTCCTGGTAAGGGCCATGGAGAGGGAAAGAGATTGGGAAAGAAGGGGGAGGTCATCTCAACAACGCAGCAAGAACTACTCATTGCATCAACCCCACCACCACGTCACCTACCCATGGCAGGGGCTTGGAACTAGATGGTCCTTACGATCACTCTCACCTACCCATGGCAGGGGCTTGGAACTAGGTGGTCCTTATGATCATTTCCAACTCAAACCATTTTATGATTCTGTATTAAAGAGCTCTACAGGCAGGGCATTTCACCTTCCAAACCCAACCAGATTTACTGCCACCCAACACCCATCTCCACCAGCCCCCTCCAAAGCACATACAGCACCATGTCCTACTGCCGCACCGGCTTTTCGCAGCTTCCCCCAGAGCATAAAAGGACCTTCCTTGCTTCAACGCAGTGAAATCAGTTCAGTAAGTGATTTTGAGCCTCAGCTAAGCCAACGGTGACAACTCCAAACAAACACCAAGGCTTGGCAGCCACACAACAAAAGGTTCTCGGGGAGATGAGGGACTCCCCAGCTGTGAGTGGTCCTGCTAAGGAGCCTGGAGGAAGAGGAAAAGGAAGCTCCAGGCCTTTTTCCTCTTTACCTTATGGATGCTCCATGTCTCCACTACGCAGCAGCTGGATTCAGCAGAACAACATATCCACTGTGCTCATTTTAAGTGTTGACCTCTGAAGGGAGGGCTGTGCTGGCCAAGCGGCCCCCTCCTTGTAACCCCTGAGCCTGCCAAAAGCTTTTCTTCATGTTCTGGCAGAGACTGGGGCTGAATCAGCTTCCAAAAATAAATTCTTCTAAGGGGTGAAACGAGGGTGGGAGTTTTTCAGTCAGGCACCCCAAGAGGAAGAGACAGCTGAGCTCAGCTTCTGCGGTCGTATGGTATCTGATATGGATGATGCTTCCAGGGCCACCTCTTGTCCTCCACACCACAAACTCGTTATTTGATGACACCACGGTGACAGTAATCACGTGGCATTTCAGTACTGCTTTCTTCTACACAGGCCTTGGAAGCAAATCAAAGGAGACGGAGAGGAGGAATCCATTCTGATGTATTCCTGGTACAATATCCCCAAATACCCGAGGCAGGGCAAAGCAGGCTGCAGCTCCCAAAAAGAACTCGAGCACCTCCAGCCTCACACGTGCTGCGAGAAGCAAAGAAGATGTTTTTGCCTTGAAGTTATTCCCTCCCTTCCTTGGAAAAGATTGGGTGTGTGGTCTCAGCCTCCTGAGTAATGGGAGCAGCACCAAGGTAAGTCAGGGGAAACCAAGCGAGGGTGAAGACCTGCTCTGCTCAACAGAGGACTTCTACTCTCTGGCCCCCAAAGGGACAAACCTGGATTGGTTGCAGGCATAATCCACATGGATTATATCCAAAAAGAACCTAGAGAAGGGTTAAAAAGACACCAAGAGACCTGTC